CCCTCCTCAATACCCACCACCAGGCTAACCCATCCTCCCACCCCCCTCCCCTCTAGAACCCTCAGTTTGTTGTTCAGAGTCCATCGTCTCTCATGGTTCGTCCGCCCCTCCGATTTCCCCCGCTTCATTCGTCCCCTCCCGCTACCTTCTTCTATTTTTTTTCTCTTCTTCACAGAGATTGCGTTATTTGTTTCAGAGGTACAGATCTGAGATTCAACAGTCTTGCACAATTCACAGCGCTTGCCAGGGCACCTACCCTCCCCAGTGTCTATCACCCAGTCACCCCACCCCCCACTCCAGCAACCCTCAGTTGGTTTCCTACGATTGATTAAGAATTCCTCCTATCCGTGAGATCATAGGATACAGGTCTCTCTGTTGGTCGCTTTGTTTTTGTTTTTTAGATTTTACTGGACAGAGACACAGCGAGAGAGGGAACGCAAGCAGAGGGAGTGGGAGAGGGAGAAGCGGGCTTCCCGCCGAGCAGGGAGCCCGATGCGGGGCTCGATTATCGGGACCCTGGCACCCTGGCACCCTGGCACCCTGGGATCATGACCTGAGCCGAAGGCAGACGCTTAATGACTGAGCCACCCAGTCGCCCCCCACTTTCCACCTTGACCGTGCCTAGTCGTCCACCCGTCTAGTCCTCTTGGCCGCGCCTGGTCTTGCCCTCGAATGTGTTCGTCTGGAGCACAGAGCTAGATCCAGAGAATGAGAGAATGAGATCGATGGACCCACGGACGGAAATCAAGTTTCTCTTTCCCTGAAATGACCTAGGACACTCCTCTTCTAGTCAGCTCCCATCCTGCTCCCCCACCCCCAACAACCTCTCATCGGACCTTCCCCTTTTGCCACCAGAAAGCTTTTCCACTCCTCCGCCTGGCCTGCGTTTGCTTGGCGTCTCTGCCAGACCCAGGCGGTGGTGGCCGACCGCAGACTCTCTTGCCCTCAAGAAATGATTCCCGCTCTCATGTGGGTGATCTTTTATCTCCACAGAGGTGATTAGTTTGGGGAACAAATAAAAGCACTCAGAATAAAAACCATGCCCAGTATCATGCACGCCCTCCTCCCCCTCCCCCCCTCCCCCCTCCCCCTTCCCCTTCCCCCCCTCCCCCCTTCCCCTCCCCCCTTGGCCCCCTTCCCCTCCCCCCTTCCCCCTTCCCCTCCCCCCTTCCCCTCCCCCCTTCCCCCTTCCCCTCCCCCCTCCCCCCTTCCCCTCCCCCTTCCCCCCTTCCCCTCCCCCTTCCCCCTTCCCCTCCCCCCTTCCCCCTTCCCCTCCCCCCTTCCCCTCCCCCCTTCCCCTCCCCCCTTCCCCTCCCCCCTTCCCCCTTCCCCTCCCCCCTTCCCCTCCCCCCTTCCCCTCCCCCCTTCCCCTCCTCCCTTCCCCTCCCCCCTTCCCCTCCTCCCTTCCCCTCCCCCCTTGGCCCCCTTCCCCTCCCCCTTCCCCCTTCTCCCTTCCCCTCCTCCCTTCCCCTCCCCCCTTGGCCCCCTTCCCCTCCTCCCTTCCCCTCCTCCCTTCCCCTCCCCTCGTGGCCCCCTTCCCCTCCCCCCCCTTTGATGTCTACAGGAACCGACAGACTGCATGCATGGCATGTATAGATGGATGGATGGATCGATGGATCGATGGATCGATGGATCGATCGATCCATGGATCGAACGGTGAAGAGAGCCAGGGTGAGGGTGAGGGTGAGGGTGAGGGTCCCGTCCGTCCCTCCCTCCTTCCCTATGTCCATCACATTGTTTCGTCACAGATTTTCGAAGTGGAGATACAATTCGCATGCCATATTTCGCATACTCTTAAAAGTGGGCCATTGGGTGGCCTTTTTTTCTTTTTTTTTAAGGTGGCTCACAAAGCTGCACAACCTTCACTGCAATTTCCAGAACATTTCCATCACCGCCAAAAGAAATAAACACCTCTACTACCCCTCCCCCCTTCCTGTCCGCGCCTCGCCCCCACCCGCCGTCACCGTCGCCCTCGCCGTCACCGTCGCCCTCGCCCTCACCCGGGCTCTCTTCACTGTTCTCCCCCAACAGGGAGTAGAAAGGGAAGTTAGAGGGAACATTCTTCCTCCCCTACACCTGCTGAACGCACATGGACACACACCGCAACCCTCCCCGCCAGGCGCGCGCACCCACCCACCCCCGCCCCGCCACGCCCCGCCCCCCATCCCGGCCTTACGTGTACCTTACGTACCTCTGCACGGACTCGAGATTTGGCAATAGCCTTGATTGCCCTGCAATGTTTCCAAACCTCGGCGCTCCCCAACCTTCCCCACCCCGACCCCCGCCCCTTCGAAGAAGAACTAACCTAATTCGGGGAGCTTCCAGGTTGCTTGAACGCCTGAAATGGTGGGGACAGAGGCGTTCCTGGAGAGGGGTCACGGAACACGGAAGCTCTGCCCCCCTTCCCTTTGCCTCTGTTCCATCTGGAGTTTCCTCAGTTGTATCCTTTTAGGACACAGCGGTCATGTAAGAAAGGAGAAAAAAAAGGACTGAAGGACTGAACCGGGCTAGACTGGTTTAAAATTCTTCACTAGCGTCCCTGCCGAATACATTTCGACGACAGGGGCCTTCGCACGGCTTTTGGTGCACAGAAGACCGATGCACCGAAGCCTGCCGATCTCGGGACGTGTCCACGAGGGGAAAGAGTGTCAGCCTATCGGAAAAGAGAGTCGGTTAACGTAGATTGCAAAGGCATTCGTTCATCCCGAGAGACTTCCTCTCCATGATGGCGGGTGGCGCGAGATGGAAGAGTTGGCTTCCATGAAAAAGGGGCCCTTTCTTGAAGACCCTGCCCAGCTATCGGGGTTTTGTTGGTTTGTGTTTTGTCATCTGTGATAGGAAGGCATCTTCTTAGCCATCGGGAGGGAAACCTCAACAAATTCAGCCATTCAGATCACAAGGGATTTCTTGGGTTTGGTGGATCTGAGATCTGGTCTGCCTCCGACTGCTCCCCGAGATTGCCTTTATGCCGAGAATGGGATTCCTCATCAGACACACAGAAGTCCGGCTCCTTGCCACGGAGCTGGCTGCTCTATGGATGCCTTTAAAAAGGAAGCCTGCCTTTAATTCGGACGTCGGAACGTGATCGGTCGCTTTTTCATGGGGGGTTGGCCAATTAAATTTCCCCCGCCTTGGGCGCCTGGGTGGCTCAGTTGGTTAAGCGGCTGCCTTCGGCTCCGGTCATGATCCTGGAGTCCCTGGATCGAGTCCCGCATCGGGCTCCCTGCTCAGCAGGGAGTCTGCTTCTCCCTCTGACCCTCCCCCCTCTCATGTGCTCTCTCTCATTCATTCTCTCTCTCTCTCTCTCTCTCTCTCTCTCTCTCTCTCTCTCTCTCTCTGTCTCAAATAAATAAACAAACAAACAAACAAACAAATAAATAAATAAATAAAATCTTAAAAAAAAAAAATTCCCCCCGCCTTACAAAGCAGAGACTGGTGAAGGGTCCTCCAAGTGCCCTCTGGAAATCAAGAGCTTCTGTATCAAGAGGCTGGAAAACGCATCTTCCCCTTCTTCCTGGTGAATCCAATTCTAGGGGTTGATTCAAAGGAAATCATGTTTTAGATGCTAAAACGTAAAGCTTACTTTTGCAAAAATGTGCATCGCGGCATAGGGTTTAGGAATCCCTTGTGGCAGACCGACAACCGTGTGTCCCTCACGTCCCGGCACGTGTGCACCCTCACGTCCTATGACTTCGATGCTCCTGCTATCCAGAGGTAGGCTTGATTGCTCTGTCCCTTGATTTTGGACCGGGTCTTGGGACTTGTCTTGACCCAAAGAATAGAGCAGAAGTGACACTTGGCTGGTTTCACAGCCTACACCTGAAGAGGTGGTCTGCCGGCGTTCTCGACCTTCTTGGCATGCCGTCCTGAGACCTCCACGTAAGAAAGCCAGTCTAGCTGACTGGAGCATGAGAGGCATTGACAACAGAGGCAGCCCGGTGCTCGGCGGCACCGACTGCCAGACGTGTGAAAGTTGACCCTCTGGCCGAAAGCCACTGCTTGAGTGAGCCCGGCGTAAACCCGCAGAACCCAAGGGGCCACCCAGGGCAAGCACCAGGAAGTTATCGATAAAGAAATGCTGTTTCGAGCCATTGCGGTGTTAGGATGATGCACCCTGAGGATCAGCTAGCTGCGCAGCAGCGATAGATACCGTGCACACAGATACACACCACACAACACACCACACCACCCCCCCCACACACACACACGTGTGCAGAAAACCAAACCAACGAAACAAACCAAAACTCTGTAGAACCCTGCACCAAATGTTGAGGAAACAACGGCCCACCCTCACAAGAAACACCTGCACGCTACATGTACAATGCATAGGGAGCCTATACTTGCAAGTGCTTACTTGCATGGGAAACATTTCACGATAACACGAGTCTCAGATGGCCCAAGCGGGGTTCTTTTGACATGTCTGAATTGTGTACACAATTAGAGAAAGCCTGCTAGGAGACTGGGTGATCAGAAACTAGGAAGCTCTTTGGTTCCCTCAGTGAAGCCCCGACTTTTGGGGAGGAACCAACACTCAGGGAGATGCTCTGGTCTTCATTTGGTTGGTTGGTTGGTTGGTTGGTTGGTTGGTTGGTTGGTTGGTTGGTTGCTGCAGCTTTTGCTATCTTTGCATAAAACCGACCCTGTTTCCATTGGGAATGGAAAACAACTGACGGGTGGGATCTGTACACGGTAATGCTGCTTCGCAGTTGCATTTGTTTTACTAAAAGAGGGAGATTTGAACATTGGGTCTTTCGTGTCCTCTCCATTCATGTCCTCTCCACAAATAAGACTGAAACAAAGGCTAAAATTTGTTTGCATCTTGTTTGTGTCTATGTGTCCGTATGTGTTATACATGTGAGGTATTTCCTCCACCTCCGGGTGCTATTGCTAACATCCATTTGTAAAGGAGCTCTATTTAATGAGTTCTATTTTTATTTTATTTTATTTTATTTTATTTTATTTATTTTATTCTTTAAAGATTTTATTTATTTATTTGACAGAGAGAGACACAGCGAGAGAGGGAACACAAGCAGGCGGAGTGGGAGAGGGAGAAGCAGGCTTCCCGCCGAGCAGGGAGCCCGATGCAGGGGCTTGATCCCAGGACCCTCGGATCATGACCTGAGCTAAAGGCAGACGCTTAACCACTGAGCCATCCAGGTGCCCCGAGTTTTATTTTTATTAAAGATTCTATTTATGTCTTTGAAAGAAAGCGAGTGAGAGAGCACACGAGCTGGGGGTGGGGGGGCATTGGGAGAGGGAGAAGCAGACTCCCCGCGGAGCAGGGAGCCGGATGTGGGGCTCCATCCCAGGACCCCAGGATCATGATGTGAACGCAAGGCAGACACTTAACTGCCTGAGCCACACAGGTGCCCCTACTTAAAGAGTTTAGAGGCAGGTGCTCGTAAAAATCGGGCATGGTAAAACTCAGATAAGAATAAACCCAGTTTTTCAAGCTCACATGATCTGGGATGAAATTCCCTACATTCAGACTCTTATGTCACTCCACAATAAAGATGCCTCAAGGTAAGGGACCCAAGGGACGGCCCAGAGATAGACAAAAATTTAACACACCTGACCTTACCCCCACTTCCCAACAGTCAAAATAATGAAGAAGAGGAGGAAGACAGGCCGATGCTAGAAATCTGAAATCCACTCCTCCTCCTCCCCAAGTACAGGCACCAGAACCGATGCCCAACCCACTGGCTTCCGGAGGGCTGAAAAGCCACCACAGACAAAGCCTATTAAGCAGAAGGAGATGAAGAAAGGGGCGGAGGCGGAGGCGGAGGCGGAGGCGGAGGCGGAGGCGGAGGCGGAGGCGGAGGCGGAGGCGGAGGCGGAGGCGGAGGCGGAGGCGGAGGCGGAGGCGGAGGCGGAGGCGGAGGCGAAAAAAAAGAAAAGGTTCGTCCAAAACTGTAAATGTATATGTGCCCTGGGCCTTACCAATGGCTCCCTTGCCGCCTCCCCTGCCCCGTTTCTGCACCACTGGTGTGTGTGCCTGGAGTGCTCTACTCCCCTGCCGCCGTCTCAGCCGCCCTTCCCTACCCCCGCCCCCCCCGCCCCCCCCCCCCCCCGGGTGCCATGGGCTCCCCTTTCTCCTCCTCCTCCTCCTCCTCCTCCCCACCCCCTTATCAAGGAGCAAAAGCCCTTGCCCTTGGGCCCAAGCCCTTGGGCCACCTCCTTATGAGGTTTAAATTGGAGCACCTCCCAAACTAGCAGGAAGGGGCCCGAGGGCTCCGCTGATCTTAGACCGCCCGCTTCAGACTTTCCCCAAGGAGTCTGATGGGGGAAAACAATCGATTGACTTTTTAGTGGACGCAGGTGCAACTTCTTTGGCGTTAAAGCCAATTCAAGGTTGTTGGTTTATTTTAAAAAGACGTGGTTTTGGAGCTATCAATGTCACACATAATACAAATAATCAACTTTGCGTTTCTTTCTTTCTTTCTTTCTTTCTTTCTTTCTTTCTTTCTTTCTTTCTTTCCTTTTTCTTTCTTTCTTTCTTTCTTTCTTTCTTTCTTTCTTTCTTTCTTTCTTTCTTTCTTTCCTTTTCTTTCTTTTCTTTGTCATAAAAGCACTTGGATTCGGTTCTCCCTGCGTTACAAGCCGTTGGGTGGGCAGTGGAATGTGCCACGCTCCCGTCACAACAGTGAGCCTGTATTTGTGGTTATCAAAATATACCTCTCCATCACCTTTATAAAAACCAACCAACCAACCAACCACGTTTGGGTGCCTGGGTGGCTCAGTCGTTCAGCGTCTGCCTTCGGCTCAGGTCATGATCCCAGGGTCCTGGGATCGAGCCCCGCATTGGGCTCCCTGTTCATTGGGGAACCTTCTTTTCCCTCTGTCCCTTCCCCTGCTTGTGTTCCCTCTCTCGCTGTGTCTCTCTCTGTCAAATAAATAAAATTTATGAAATATATTCATACATTTGCCAATCTAAAGAATTCTGGTGTAATAGAGAGTGCGCCATTGGTTACTACTAACGTTTCACCAGAGACTGAGATTTCTAAGAATTAAAATTCTGCCACATGGAATTGGGACTGCTACAAAATGATAACAAAAACAACTCCGTGTGTGGGAAGGTAGGAGACGTGTAAAAGAGGTACAAGAAATGAGAAAACATTTTTTTTGTTGAGGGAAAAGGAAGTAATGGTGTACTGAAACGGGACTGGGTACTTAAAGAAAGAAAACTTTAAGACCGAGTCTGAATGAAAAAGGAAATTGTGGAAGGGGTTTGTGAAGGAGAATTTTTGAAAAGGAATTTTATGCATGGTCAGGACTGACTGAGCTTGGGAGAAGGCAGTTTGAAAAGCACACTGGTGGAACTGGAGGGTATTATGTTGAGCGAAATAAGTCAAACAGAGAAAGACATGTATCCTATGATCTCACGGATAGGAGGAATTCTTAATCGCAGGAAACAAGCTGAGGGTTGCTGGAGTGGGGGGTGGGGTGGGAGGGATGGGGTGACTGGGTGATAGACACTGGGGAGGGTAGGTGCTCTGGCAAGCGCTGTGAATTGTGCAAGACTGTTGAATCTCAGATCTGTACCTCTGAAACAAATAACGCAATCTATGTGAAGAAGAAAAAAAAAATAGAAGAAGGTAGCGGGAGGGGACGAATGAAGCGGGGGAAATCGGAGGGGCGGACGAACCATGAGAGACGATGGACTCTGAACAACAAACTGAGGGTTCTAGAGGGGAGGGGGGTGGGAGGATGGGTTAGCCTGGTGGTGGGTATTGAGGAGGGCCCATTCTGCATGGAGCACTGGGTGTTGTGCACAAACAATGAATCATGGAACACCACATCTAAAACTAATGATGTAATGTAGGGGATTAACATAAGAATAAAAAAAAGAAGAAGAAAAGCACACTGGTATAAGATTGAGATTTGGGTTTTCTATGTTAAAATGACAAGGTTTTCTTGGATTGTTAGTGTACTCTTTTTTTCTTTCTTAAGATTGTATTTATTTATTTGACAGAGAGAGACACAGCGAGAGAGGGAACACAAGCAGGGGGAGCGGGAGAGGGAGAAGCAGGCTCCCGGCCAAGCAGAGAGCCCGATGTGGGGCTCGATCCCAAGACCCTGGGATCATGACCTGAGCCGAAGGCCGACAGACGCTTGACGACTGAGCCACCCAGGCGCTCCTCCGAGATTTTATTTTTTAAATAATCTCTACACTGAACGTGGGGCTCGAACTCACAACCCTGAGATCAAGAGTCGTGCTCTCTACCGACTGAGCCAGCCAGGTGCCCCTGGACTGTCATCTCGAAGAGACACATGCGTAGACTCAGATATGGTGAGACTGCTTTAAGAAAGTCAGATTGACTTTATGGAGCCAGTAAAGCCCCTTAGAAATGTTGGCCTGATAACCTTGCTTAGAGAGGTCCCCTCAACCTTACCAGGTGAGTGAAGAGTACCACCTCCTGGCAGATGCAGGAACTTCAGGAAATTTGGAGGCCCTCAAAGAAGAGAGGAATTCACCCAAATCTACAAGTCTTTTTTTTTTTTGTAATTTTTTTTATTCTTATGTTAATCCCCGTACATCACATCATTAGTTTTAGATGTAGTGTTCCATGATTCATTGTTTGTGCACAACACCCAGTGCTCCATGCAGAATGCGCCCTCCTCAATACCCACCACCAGGCTAACCCATCCTCCCACCCCCCTCCCCTCTAGAACCCTCAGTTTGTTTTTCAGAGTCCATCGTCTCTCCTGGTTCGTCTACCCCTCCGCAAATCTACAAGTCTTGCAGGCGAATCTGATGGCCAATATTTGGCTTGGTTCTCGGCTTTAAAAAGGCAGTTAAAGGATCAATCTAAAATTCCTTGTAAAAAGCTCCATCAAAGCAGATTTAAAAGAAGGAAAGGAAAAAGAAAAGAGAAGAAAGACCCCATATATGGTCAATTGCTATTCTTGCTGTCCCTACGTAGATGATTGGGCCAAGTTTGTTAAAACTGGACTTGTTTTACAAACAAATTAATCTTCTTTTGGCTATCTTTGACAGGAATGAAGGTGACTTTAGAGAGAAAGATTACATTTCAATAACACACTTTTGTGAGTGTTAGATTAATTATCTTTGAACGTTTATTGTTTGCCTATAAAACTGGACTGGATCCTGGATCCTTCTGGTTTCCTTGAGTATCTGACTGTGACTCTTCAAACTAAGGTTTCCAACATTCTCCCATTCTCTCTCTTTTTTTTAATTAATTTATTTTTTTATTCTTAGGTTAATCCCCATACATTACATCATTAGTTTTAGATGAAGTATTCCATGATTCATTGTGCATAACACCCAGTGCTCCATGCAGAATGGGCCCTCCTCAATACCCACCACCAGGCTAACCCATCCTCCCACCCCCCTCCCCTCTAGAACCCTCAGTTTGTTGTTCAGAGTCCATCGTCTCTCATGGTTCGTCCGCCCCTCCGATTTCCCCCCCGCTTCATTCGTCCCCTCCCGCTACCTCCTCCTCCTCCTCCTCCTTCTTCCTCCTCCTCCTCCTCTTCTTCTTCTTCTTCTTCTTTTCTCCTTCTTCTTCTTCTTCTCCTTCTTCTTCTTCTTCTTCTTCTTCTTCTTCTTCTTCTTCTTCTTCTCTCCTTCTTCTTCTTCTTCTCTCCTTCTTCTTCTTCTTCTTCTTCTTCTTCTTCTTCTTCTTTTCTTCTTCTTCTTCTCTCCTTCTTCTTCTTCTTCTTCTTCTTCTTCTTCTTCTTTTCTTCTTCTTCTTTTCTTCTCCTTCTTCTTTTCTTCTTCTTCTTCTTTTCGTCTTCTTCTTTTCTTCTCCTTCTTCTTTTCTCCTCCTCCTTTTCTCCTCCTCCTCCTCCTCCTTCTTCTTCTTCTTCTTTTTTTCCCCTTAACATATATTGCATTATTTGTTTCAGAACATTCTCCCATTCTCTTATCTTACAATCATTAAGAACTAAAACTGTCCTTTTTCCTGAAGTCTGGCAAATGAAAGCTGGACAACTTGAAATAAATTTCAGGGAAATGACCACAATAACTCATATATAGACAATCTTTGTGCCTGTTGCTCTATGAGTCACTCAAAATGAGACATTTGAACTATACGCCAGAAAAATTAGTCAGATTGCCCCTGCCCACTCCCACTCTATTGGAGGATGCTTCAAGCCTGACATCTAGAGACCTTCTCACTGGCAGCCCTCTGGACTTAGACACCAGGTGTATCCCTTGTTCCAACCATTAACCATGTTTTCCTTTTGTTTCCATAGAAATGCCTCTTATTAACTACAAGATCACTTGCTGAATGAGGCAGAGTCTATGATCCTTAATTCCACCTTGCTGCACCTGTATTAACTCCTCTTTGGAAAATAAGAACCCATATAAATAGGGGCACCTGGCTGGCTCAGCTGGTAGAACATACGACTCTAGATCTCGGGGTTGTGAGTTCGAGCCCCACATTGAGTGTAGAGATTACTTAATAGAAATCTTTAAAGAAAAAAAAAAATAAAAAAGAACCCATGTAAATAAAATCAAACACTAAGCTACTTGGCTACCAGAAGCCCTTCACCACCACAACCTACCGCCCCCCCCCCAGGGGAGGGGCTCAGACTAATTTACTGATCTGTATTCTTGGATACCCACCGATATCAGATCAATTTGAGAGAGAATGAGAGAATTGGGTTTGACTCTACTGTTACTATTCCTTAGACTACACTTGGGGATAAAATCAATGGTGTCATGTAGTCCCAAACCATGTAGAAAAATAACCAAGTTCTCAGATAAGGAACTATCTCTGAGACCCCCTCCATTAGCACAAGGGACCAAAAATTGCGACCTGCAGTGTCTCAGATCCTTCCATTCCAAAGCCTCTACTGCACCCTAATTCAGCTTGAAGCAGTTAAATAAAGAAGGCAGACCTCTGCCCATGTGTCATAGAAATGGAATGCAGGATGGACAAGGGGAAATTTTAACAGGGAAAAATGTAGCATGTCTGACTCCCTGTTATTTTTATTCCCTTTTAACCTGTAGGTTAAAAACTTCTGTTTAGCCCTGAACATAGCCATGTTACAGCTAAGATTTACAGAAACTGTCGTTTACCCAAAACCTACCTCCCCTGAGGAGATGAAAGAATAGCCACAGCCATCATCATCCCAATTCCCTAAGACTGAGGAATGATCCTCACTTGGTGGGGGTGGGGGTGGGGGTGGGGGTGGGGGTGGGGGTGGGGGTGGGGTGGGGGTGGGGATTGAAACCGTGCCCCATAAGGTTAATGAGGTTGATGCTAGCAGAAAGCTTAAAGCTGGTTTTTCAGGGAACTGTTTCCCCCTAGTCAGCTATTGTGTCTTTTCAGGCCCTGCTACCAAATACTGGCTGTCTCTGCAGAAGTCTGGACTCAAGGTCAACTGATAATGGCTGCAGCCTATGAAGAAGCGAGGTCCTGATTCCTTACCTGAGAAAAGGAGCCTAAGACCCCATCCAGGTTGTACCAGCTCTCAGAGCATGCCCACAGCCTCTTCTCCTTGTCCTCAGATAACCTCCTGACATCAGGGACTCAGTTTTGCCTCATTCAGATGTCAGGTCTCCACCCCGAAGTAAACATGGGAATCTATGGTACATATGTTTCCTGAATATACGTGCTCCAACTTTCGCCATGAATAATCATAAATGTCCCTGCCCTTTTCCTTTTTGAAGTTTGATTGTTTGTTTTTATTTATTTATTTCAGAGAGAGAGACACACAGAGAGAGACAGAGACAGAGAGAGAAACACACACAGAGAGAGAGAGACAGAGAGACAGAGAGACAGAGAGACAGAGAGACAGAGAGCTTGCACGCATGGGTGGGTGGAGGGGCAGAGGGAGAGGGAGAAGACTCCCCATTGAGCAGGGAGCCCCAGAGGGGTGGGGCTCGATCCCAGCACCCTGAGATTATGACCTGAGCTGAAGGCAGATGCTCAACCGGCAGCCACCCAGGCGCCCCTCCATTCCATTTTTTTTTTTTAAAGAGATAAACATTACATACTTTATTTTTAAAAATTCATTCATTCATTCATTCATTCATTCATTCATTCATTCATTCATTTTTCATCATCTGTAGTCCCAGTGTAGGGCTTGAACTCAGGACCCTGACTGAGATCAAGAGTCATGTGCTGTTCTGACTGAGCCACCCAGGTGCTCCTTCTGTTCCATATTTTAAACAACCCTGGGATCATGGCTCAGAGTCACAGTTGGCCCAATGAGACTCACACTCACCCCTCTGTGCAGAGGTGCCATCTGTGGGGCTGGTTCCTGTTTGTCCATCTTCCTTCCTCCTCTTACTGGACAGGAAGGTGGTGTGCGAAAACAGCCAGTGACTACGTGGAATGAGACCGAGGATTTCCCTTGGGAAGCAGGTGGGAGAGGGAGGACAGGTCGATGGATAATCAATAAACTGTTTTGTTTTTTTTTTTTTTAAGATTGTATTTATTTATTTATTTGACAGAGAGAGACACAGCGAGAGAGGGAACACAAGCAGGGGGAGTGGGAGAGGGAGAAGCGGGCTTCCCGCGGAGCAGGGAGCCCGATGCGGAGCTCGATCCCAGGACCCTGGGATCATGACCTGAGCCGAAGGCACATGCTTAATGACTGAGCCACCCAGGTGCCCCAACAATCAATAAACTGTTAATGTTGATTTAGAGGAGTGTGCTTGCTGGGCCCATAACTCGGTGGATGAGTTAGAACGGTCCCTGTCAGGCCTCCCTTAGCCCTTAGCCCTTAGCCCTTATCACTCCATGCTTGTGTTTGGCCTCTGACCGCTAAGATACCACCATCATGTGTTCAAGGTCCTCCTCAGACTCAGCCAGCCACACCATGCCACACCCTCCTACCTGCACACCCATCCCTGGAAGGCAGTATAGTAAGACATCATCCCCCACATTCATGATTCCCAAAGGGTTTACTGGAGTTTCGTGGGTTAGGAAAAGGAGGGGACTCTTTTTGCCCCCAGATGAGGTGAGCTCTTCAGACACCCTCTTTCCCCTTCCCCTCCTCCCTCCCTCCCTTCCCTCCCTCCCTCCCTCCCTCCCTCCCTTCCCTCCCTCCCTCCCTCCCTCCCTCCCTCATCTCTCTCCGAAGTTTGCAAGCTGCAGCCTAAGGGTTAGGGGGAGTTGAGGAAAGCCATTGAATGGAGGGAAGCTCCAGGCTCTGACTTTAACAGAAAGCTTTCTGCATTTGAATGAAGCGATTGAATGAGGCCCATTAGAATGGATCACCCTGAACGTCCCATCAGCCGCCCCAGCCCCAGCCCCAGCCCCCCCATCCCCCCCCAACTGAAGTCCTCTGGTCGAATTGGAACAGTAGGCTGGGGGGGGGGGGGGGGCTGTCCATCCTAAGTTGGTAACTAGGCCCCTGGTCCATAGGGAAAAAATCACGCACGGGTACAGATGAGTTGGTAGCTCAGGCAAAGTGGTCGAAGTGTTGGCAAGGTTTCCGTGGATGAGGGGAGATTTGTTCTGGGACCACCCTCCCATATACATCTCTGGCTGAGAAGAGGACAGGGGAGCCCTGTGGGGGTGGGGGTGGGGGTGGGGGTGGGGGTGGGGGGGCGGGACCCAGATCTGGAGCTCGGAGTGGACTATAGCCGCTGCCTGCCCGGGTGTGTGTGCCTGGGGGGCGGGGGGGGGGGGCGCTGAGGGATAAGGGCTGAGGGTGGTGGGGTCTGCTCACGCTGACTCCTGCAACTCAATTCATCCTGGGAACCTTCTGTTGTTTCTGCTGAGGTGCCAGGTGCTGTGATGACCAAAGCTAAACTCCTCTCTTTGCCTAGTTCTTAAAAGGCCTGATCCTCCTGTTATCTTGTTAAATGGACCGACCCCTGCACCCTCCCATCCTGCCAGACCCCTTGTGCAAATACTTCCACTTGAAGAGTTCTTTCTCTGAATCTAGAAAATAAACAGACAACACCCACCAGCCACACCGACCCCATTGCCACAAATACCTAGCAAAGACAAATCTAGCTGGTCTCCTTCTGCCTCAAGGCACTTTAGAGAGTCACTCTCTCAGACACACCTTAGGCTCAATTACAGGCTGCTGTCTCCCTTTCTCTGGCACAATTCCATCCCTGGAGGAGCCCCATATCGCATCTGCAGCCGTGAGCTGGAGACAGTATGCTCAAGTGACCGGGTGGTAGCACCGTAACTTTGAAATGACCTATACCCCAAGTCATCCATGAACATGGTCCCTGGAAATCTTTGACATTCACGTGCCTCTGATGAAATCCTTGCTTTGGAAACTCCAGCACCCATAGCCAATCTTGTCCATGTTCTGCTAACCTTTGCTCGCCCTCTGTTCGCCTGATATCTTGCCTGATTGTTTACAGAGAAATTAGATCCCATCCAGCAAGAGCTGAATCCGAGTCCTCTGCTCACCCCACGACGGAAAAGAATATGCACAGGCCTGCATCCCTCTTCTCCTTCTCCACCATGTCGGAAGAAAAGGTGGCCCTCCCTCCTCCCATCAGAACCCAAACCCGAGATAAGACTTAGATATAAAGGAAACCAGCATACTGTTTTGAACTCTATATACACTTGTAAAAAACGAGCAGCGGCAAGGAAACACACAAACCACCCCCCCCCCACACACACACAGGTGCAAGGAGGGTGCGCTGACTCGCTGAATCTCCCCCTTTTCTCCCGAGAGGCATCCCCCCCATCCCCCGCCCCCCCCCGAAGATGTCCTCCCTATGCCGGAAGGGGAGTGAGTGACGTTCTTTTCTTCCTTTTTTTTTTTTTTTTTAATTATTCTTTTTAAAAGACTTTTATTTATTTGAGAGGAGGGGGGGGGGGGAGGGAGGGGGGAGGGAGGGAGAGAGAGAGAGAGAGAGAGAGAGAGAGATTGAGAGAGAGAGAAGCAGAGTCTCCGCCGAGCAGGGAGCCCGATGTGGGGCTGGATCCCCGGACCCTGAGCTCAGGGCCTGAGCCGAAGGCAGGCGGACGGTTCACGGATTGAGCCAGCCAGGCGCCCCAGCTTTCTTGTTTCTTTGTCTGCCTGCTTGCCTGCGTGTTGGGTCTGTGGATGTCTGATGCCTGCCCTCTGATTTCGTGGGGAGGTGGGCCGTCTTTCCTCCTTCCAATGGCCTTTGCGCATTTGTCAAACTTCTGTCGGGCTTGGGCCTATCTGTTTGGGTATCTGTGGCGTTCCATCCACCGACCTGTCTCTTTTGTCTGCCAACATCACAGGGTCTCTATCGCCTCTATACATAAGCATGAAACGGGCCCGGAGAGGACGACTTTGTTTCCTGAGTTTTGTTTTGTTTTCTTCGAAATCACCATAGCGATTCTAATTCCTTTTGCCTGTCTGCTTGTGTATGTAATCTGTACACCCATCCAGTGCGGTGCTGGAACTCACGACGCCCGCCGATCAAGAGTCGCGGTCGCGTGGGCCTCCTCCGACCGAGCCAGCCAGGTGCCCTGAAATACGTGTACTTGAAAAACCAATGTGAAGCCTGCACCCGTGAACTTTTTTTTTTAAAGATTTTATTTATTTATTTGAGACAGAGAGAATGAGAGAGACAGAGAGCACATGAGAGGGGGGAAGGGTCAGAGGGAGAAGCAGACTCCCTGCCGAGCAGGGAGCCCGATGCGGGACTCGATCCCGGGACTCCGGGATCATGACCTGAGCCGAAGGCAGTCGCTTAACCAACTGAGCCACCCAGGCGCCCTTTTTTTTCTTTTCTTTTCTTTTTTTTTTTTAATAGATGCACCCGTGAAGTGTTTACTGCGAAACCTTCTTTTGATCGTCGCACTCTTGAGTGGAGGCCGTACCAGTAAAGAACGTAGTTTAGCCAACTCAGGAAGAGATCAGCTTTAAAGGAAAACCTTCTTTTCGAGTTTGTGATGTCTGGTCCTTTCTCTCAACTCGATCGATGTCCAGCCTTCAGAGCCACATTATTTGCTTGGTCTCTCTCTCTCTCTCTCTCTCTCTCTCTCTCTCTCTCTCTCTCTCTCTCGTCTGTGTTTCCTCGTGTACTTTCCTGATGCTCAGGATTTATGGTTTAGAGAGAACAGTTTTCAGCCTGGTGTGTGTGTGGGGGGGGGGGGGATGTTGTGAAGTGGGATCAGGGATTCACGCGGGTAAGGAGGAGGCAAGGAGAAAGGCTTGGTTGGGAAGGAAACCATTAAAGGTCCATGTTGAAATGGTGAAGTTTATTTTATTTATTTATTTATTTATTTATTTATTTACTTTTTAAAGATTTTATTTATTTATTTGACAGAGAGAGACAGCGAGAGAGAGAACACAGGCAGGGGGAGTGGGAGAGGGAGAAGCAGGCCTCCCGCGGAGCAGGGAGCCCGATGTGGGGCTCGATCCCAGGGCCCTGGGCTCGTCACCTGAGCCGAAGGCGGACGCTTAACGACTGAGCCACCCCCCAGGTGCCCCGAAATGGTGAAGTTCAATGTAGTAAGAGTTACCTTTAATCAAAGGAATTCTTTTTTTTTTCTTTTATTTTATTCTTATGTTAATCCCCATACATTACATCATTAGTTTTAGATGAAGTGTTCCATGATTCATTGTTTGTGCACAACACCCACTGCTCCATGCAGAATGGGCCCTCCTCAATACCCACCACCAGGCTAACCCATCCTCCCACCCCCCTCCCCTCTAGAACCCTCAGTTTGTTGTTCAGAGTCCATCGTCTCTCATGGTTCGTCTACCCCTCTGATTTCCCCCCGCTTCATTCTTCCCCTCCTGCTACCTCCTCCTCCTCCTCCTCCTCCTCCTCCTCCTCCTTCTTCTTCTTCTTCTTTTTTTTTTCTTAACATAGATTGCATTATTATTTGTTTCAGAGGTACAGATCTGAGATTCAACAGTCTTGCACAATTCACAGCGCTTACCAGAGCACACACCCTCCCCAGTGTCCATCACCCAGTCACCCCATCCCTCCCACCCCACCCCCCACTCCAACAACACTCAGTTTGTTTCCTGCGATTAAGATAATCAAAGGAATTCTTGCTGGAGGTTGCTTCTCCCCTCTCCTCCCTGGATAGGGGAGTGAAGTTTTTTCGAGGTCCCTAGTGGACACAGAAAGCGTTCAAGTGCCCCTAGCACCTATGGATGGGGCTCTGTTGCCCTCTAGTGTCCTATCCTCTGCTACTGCTGCTCGTGGTTTCCTCTGACGTCGTATTCGTCACAGGTGTGTATCTTTGATGGTTAATGCTGCTCGGTGTCGGTTGTTTGCGTGTTTGTTTTTGAAAGCTTTTTGAGTGATCATCCAGCATGGTGCTGGAACTCACGACCCCTGCAGATCAAGAGTCGCAGTCGCGTGGGCCTCCTCCGACCGGAGCCAGTCAGGTGCCCTGAAATGCGCTTAGTTGAAACAGGAAGAAAGAAAAAACAAAAAACAAAACCCAAACCATTTTTTTTTTCCCCCTTTACGAGCCAGAGGAAGTTCTACGCCTTGTTTTTGTTTTACCCTTAATAGCATGGAACAGTTCCCCTCCTCCTCCTCCTCCTCCTCCTCCTCCTCCTCCTCCTCCTCCTCCTCCTCCTCCTCCTCCTTCTTCTTCTTCTCCATCATCATCATCATCATCATCAATATTTAACTCTTCTAGAGCACCTCCCCCGCCCACCCCGTACTAGTGTTGGACGGCACGGATGTCCCGGAACTGGATTTCTTTAAAGATATATATTTTTACGATTTTATTGATTTATTTGACAGAGGGAGACACAGCGAGAGAGGGAACACAAGCAGGGGGAGTGGGAGAGGGAGAAGCAGGCTTCCTGCCGAGCAGGGAGCCCGATGCGGGACTCGATCCCGGGACTCCGGGATCATGACCTGAGCCGAAGGCAGTCGCTTAACCAACTGAGCCACCCAGGCGCCCTCTTTTTTTTTTTTTCTTAACATAGATTGCATTATTTGTTTCAGAGGTACAGATCTGAGATTCAACAGTCTTGCACAATTCACAGCGCTTGCCAGAGCACCTACCCTCCCCAGTGTCTATCACCCAGTCACCCCATCCCTCCCACCCCACCCCCCACTCCAGCAACCCTCAGCTTGTTTCCTGCGATTAAGAATTCCTCCTATCCGTGAGATCATAGGATACATGTCTTTCTCTGTTTGACTTATTTCGCTCAACATAATACCCTCCAGTTCCATCCACGTCGTTGCCAATGGCAAGATCTCATTCCTTTTGATGGTTGCATGATATTCCATTGTATGTATATATATACCACATCTTCTTTATCCATTCATCTGTCGATGGACATCTTGGCTCTTTCCACAGTTTGGCTATCGTGGATATTGCTGCTATAAACATCGGGGTGCACGTACCCCTTCGGATCCCTATTTTTGTATCTTTGGGGTAAATACCCAGTAGTGCAATTGCTGGATCATACGGCAGCTCTAGTTTCAACTTTTTGAGGAATCTCCATACAGTTTTCCAGAGTGGCTGCACCAGCTTGCATTCCCACCAACAGTGTAGGAGGGTTCCCCTTTCTCCGCATCCCCGCCAACATCTGTCATTTCCTGACTTGTTACTTTTAGCCATTCTGACTGGTGTGAGGTGGTATCTCATTGAGGTTTTTTTTTTTTTTTTAAGATTTTATTTATTTATTTGAGAGAGAGAGAGAGAGACAGAAAGAGAGCATGAGAGGGGGGAGGGTCAGGAGGATCAGAGGGAGAAGCAGACTCCCCGCTGAGCAGGGAGCCCGATGCGGGACTCGATCCTGGGACTCCAGGATCATGACCCGAGCCGAAGGCGGTCGCTTAACCAACTGAGCCACCCAGGCGCCCTCATTGAGGTTTTGATTTGGATTTCCCTGATGCTGAGCGATATTGAGCACTTTTTCATGTGTCTGTTGGCCATTTGGATGTCTTCTTTGGAAAAATGTCTGTTCATGTCTTCTGCCCATTTCTTGATTGGATTCTTTGTTCTTTGGGTGTTGAGTTGGATGAGTTCTTTATAGATTTTGGATACGAGCCCTTTATCTGATATGTCATTTGCAAATATCTTCTCCCATTCTGTCGGTTGTCTTTTGGTTTTGTGGACTGTTTCCTTTGCTTTGCAAAAGCTTTTTATCTTGATGAAGTCCCAAGAGTTCATTTTTGCCTTTGCTTCCCTTGCCTTTGGCGATGTTTCTAGGAAGAAGTTGCTTTGGCTGAGGTCAAAGAGGTTGCTGCCTGTGTTCTCCTTTAGGATTTGGATGGACTCCTGTCTCACATTGAGGTCTTTCAACCATTTGGAGTCTATTTTTGTGTGTGGTGTAAGGAAATGGTCCAGTTTCATTCTTCTGCATGTGGCTATCCAATTTTCCCAACACCATTTGTTGAAGAGACTGTCTTTGTTCCATTGGACATTCTTTCCTGCTTTGTCAAAGATGAGTTGACCATAGAGTTGAGGGTCCATTTCTGGGCTCTCTATTCTGCGGAACTGGATTTCTTGAGTGAAGGACTATTTTAACTCCCTTCCTCCCCATTCCGCGCCTGCCCCCGCCCCGCCCCCGCCCCCGCACGCACCGCCCCGCCCCGCCCCCCGCCCCCGCACGCACCGCCCCGCCCCGCCCCCCGCCCCCGCACGCACCGCCCCGCCCCGCCCCCCGCCCCCGCACGCACCGCGCGCCCCGCCCCCCGCCCCCGCACGCACCGCGCGCCCCGCCCCCCGCCCCCGCACGCCCCGCCCCGCTTGTTGGCCTTGGACGTTATCGCGTACGTGCAGAGACGGATTTGATGTGCACCTTTCTGGGGGTGTGTGTCAATCCCCCCCCCCCCTTCCTGTCCTGAGCTTTCTTCGTATGCTTCAGAGAGACCTCCTCCTCCCCTTAAAATGATAGAAGAGAGAAGGTTCATCCGTGGTGGTTGTCGGAGTACTCGCTTGGTCTCGGTTTTACGGTCCTTGCCCGCCGAAATGTGTCTTAAGTCCTCCCGGAAGCCCGGGCGCCGCAGGTGTGCCGCTGTGGGAGGCCCGTGCCCCACGAGATCGGGCGGCCGGGCGGCCGGGCTGTGCGCCTTCGCGGGCCCGCGATCCGGATCTGCCTCGTTGTTGTTCGCGCCGGTTGTCGGGTGCCACCTGGCGGCCGCTTTTAGATAGCGTGTCCCCGCCGGAGTGTCAGCGATGTCGGCAAGGGATTGTATTTGGCCGCGGTTCCCGAGGCGGAGTACCGGGAGGCCGGCGACGCTAGCGAGATCGGCCCGCTGTCTCCGGGCCACCGGCGCGACCTCCGCTCGCGGGAGATTGAGCCTCC